TCAGAGCCTCCAGCCATATAGCTGGGCACGCCACGGAGAGGCTCTTGGGGGCTGGCCCTCAGATAGGAGTCTTTGCCTCCTCCCTCAGGCTGGAAGCTCCCCAGGGTTGGACGCTTCACGGGGAGGGGCTCCAACGGCTCCTCCTTCAGACCAGCAGCTCCAGGACCCCCTTCTCCCTCCTGGCCCAGCCTTCCTCCTCCCTCCACCCTCAGACTAGCGGGGCCAAGTCCACCTCCAGGCAGGGGAGCAGGTCTCCTGCCTGCTTGGACCCCTCAGGGTTTGGCAAAGTCTTAGAAGTGGAGAGAATGAACCACCACCCCACCCCACCACCCCAAAAAAGAAAGAAAAAGTTCCCCAGGAAAATTAAAATGGCAGAGAACATTCCATCTGAAGCGCATACTGCCCACTGATTATGGGCATGGGCTCTGGTGCTCCGACCCGCCTGCCCGTGGGTCCACACGGGGGTCCTAGTCCCCGCGGTGGGGGCTTGGATGGTCTTGGCAGTGCCCTAAGGCCCAGGCAGGTGGGAAGGGCGGATGGCCTGTTCCCAGCAGCAGGCTCAGTCCTCATCCTCGCTGGTGTAGACACGGGCTTCCCAGCGTTCTGCCATGAGGTTCTTGTGACGGGTCACCCGGGTGGCCTCCAGGACCTGCAAGAGGGGAATGGAGTCCCCCATCAGACCCTAAGTTCTCCAGATGCCTGCCCTCACCACTGGGTCACGGGAGAGGGAGGCCTGGCACAGGCTGGACACAGGCGAATCCCCTCCTCTGCTTCAGAACCTCTATCTCTAGTGATATGACCAAAGAATGCATGAACTCGTACTGTGTGCAAAGGAAGGGCAAAATGCCTCCCTGGACTCTGACCTCTTCAGCAGCAGGGAGGTGATCCGTGAGCAGCTTGGGCCAGAGACAAGGACACTGTCTGAGCACAGGCTCCGTCTGAGAGCCTGGCGTTTTCGGTGGTTAGCTGGACGTCTACACACTCTCAGACGGACACCGTGCTCAAAGAGTATCCTTGTCCCGGCCCCACGCTACTCCACCTGGTGAAAAGGCAGCACCTGAGCTCCTTCCCAGAATCTGTGCCCACAGCAGTCTCGGAGCAGGTCACAGCGGAGTGACCTTCAGACAGACAGACAGACACAGAGATGGACACACAGACAGACAGACACATAGACAGATGGACACAGACACTTAAACACAGAGACAGACAGACTCCTAGATGGACAGACAGGTAGACAGACACAGAGACTGGCAGGTGGATACACAGACAGACAGACACTTCCAGGCAAGGAGACACCCAGCAAAAAGCCAGGCAAGCTGGAGGTGTGGAGGAGGGGGGCCCAGGACATGGCGAGCAGAGGCAAGCCTCCACGAGCCAAGAGCACCTCCCATGAAGTGGTTGTGTGGCCTGCAGGACAAAGGTCATCCCCAACAAGCTGGGGCTTGACCTGAAAGCATCTGAGTGTGACCAAAAGGCCTGCAACAACTAAGGGGCAGGGGGAAAGACAGCACTGGAAAGAGAACCCCTGAGCACAGGGCACAGCCAGTGGACACACGGTGACAGGGTGGCCAGTGGACACCAGTGAAGGATGTGACGTGGTAGTGTGGCAGACGTAGCTTGTGGACACACGGTGATCTCTCCAGCTAACTAGTCTCACACAGCCTGTCGTGGGGAGATTGTCACGTGCGGGCGTAACATGCTCTGTAAACACTCAAAGGGGACGTCCAGTGAAGCCCTGCCCTCACACACCAGATGACCCTGAAGCCAGGACAGGACTGCGCAGGCGGGAGTGGGCCTCACCTGTGAGTTGATGTGGTCGGAGGGGTCAATCCCGGCGTACTGCAGGGAGGAAACACACTGTCAGCCAGCGCTGGGGACGCCCTGCTCACCCTACCCACAGCCAAGCTGGGACTCTGTCCCCTACCCACCACAGCCCCCCACGTGGCCCTCCAGGGCCCCAGACTCAAGGCAACACAGGCCACCCCTCAGCGCGGCCGAGGCCCAGAGCAGCTGCCCCTGAGAGGGAGGAGGCTGAGGAGGCTGACTTGGCAGGGCTCACACTGGACACTGGACCGCCAGGCCACGGCCTCATCCTCTGTGAGCAGCGGGCAGGCGGGGCTGGGGTTGTCTGTCTCTAGGTCCTCACTGCTCCACCCAGGGTGGACAGAGAGCCAGTGGCTGTCAGGACCGGCCTGGGAGCTGGACCAGGGTTCAAGTCCTCAGTATGGACAGTCCACCCTGCACCTCCCGTGGAAGAACAGTCATCAGCAGGCAGGGAGGGAGACAGGTCAGGGTACTGTCCCTCCTCACCCTCGAGTGGAGGACCACTGCCTATCTGTGGCCCTGACAGGGTCGGGGTGGGGGTGGGGGGAATCTGTCAGGCCACAGCCAGGCCTCCTAGCAGCAGGCAGGGGAGGGGGGTGTCCAGTCCTGGACGTACCCATGTCTCCTTCTTCTTCCTCTGCCAGGGTGCATCCTGTGGGGGATCTTCTGGGGTCTCTGGCTCAGCCCCCACTGCCCACACCAGGCCCGAGTGCAGCTGGATTGGGGTGAAGAAGGGGGATTCTGACACCGAGTAGCTGCCTGTGATGCCTGTGTGGGAGGAAGAGGGAGGGGCCTCAGGGAGGGCCCAGAGCCCCTCATGGACCGCCCGGCTGTCAGGCGAGAGGCCAGGATCCATACAGTCTCTGGCCAACAGGCTGGACCAGGTAGGAGCTCACACTCACTGACAGCCAGGTGAGAGAGCAGATGGACAGAGTGACCAGAGAGCCAGCAGAAACTGCAGGCAGAGAGATGAACCGGTCTTTCAAGGTGACAAGGGTCAAAAGTGACCGGGCCGTGGGGGTGGGGTGGGGTTTACTTCATGTTGAGAACAAGGACCAGGAGACCCGACATCCATAACCCCCCATGTGCCCACTAACAAGGCAGCCAAATCCATAAAGCAAACGCTGCAGGACAATGCTGAGGCCGCTCTGCAATCCGCTGTGCGCGCAGACTCGCAGACTCGGGCAGTGGTCAGGAGCAGCCACTTCCTGCTCCAGCCTCGGAGACCCCGGGACCCAGCTCACCGGAGGCCCGGGAGGAGCTCCTGGAGTCCGGGTCTCTGTCCACCGGCGATGGGCTGAAGACTTCGGGGAAGAGCGCGCTGCGCCGCTCCTCCGCCAGCTCCCGCTCTCTGCGCAGCACGCTCTCCACCTCCTGCTCCAGCAGCTCGGAGGACCGGGACTTCTGCAGCCTCAGCACGGGGGCTCCAGCCGGCCCCCAGCCCCAGCCTGAAGGGCCCTGCGCCGGCCGGGGGTCCTCAGGGACGCCGAACCGCAGCGGGCGCAGGAGGAAGTACTCCCGGCGGACCACCCCCCCGTGGGCCGGCAGGGGCTTTGGGCCCAGGGCTCTCCTGGAGGGCTCGGAGACTGGCCTCGGGGACGCGGTGGCCTTGGGCGAAGCCACCGCCTGGACCTCCAGGGCAGGTGGGGTTTGCAGCCTGGGGCTCCCGGGGCCCAGGTAGGGCAGATAGACGTGGGGCGGGATGCGGCTGACGGCCCTGACCTCCGGGTCGGGGTTGGCCGCGCGCGCGTCCGGGTCGAGGATGGAGTCGGAACTAAAGGCCCGCCGGAGCACAGGCTGCGCGTCTTCGGAGCCCCAGTCCGGGGTGGCCGCGCGGCCGCCCTGCAGCCGGTGGTCCTGCTCGCGCTGCGTCTCCTGAGCGATGTCCCGCTGCACGTAGAGGGATGGGCGGCCCCTGTCGCGCCGCGGACCTGGGCTCAGAGTGACCCTGGTCAGCAGCGGCCGGGAGGGGACCTGCACCATCTCCTGCTGCTCGGCCGCTGGCTGCAAGCCCCTCTGCGCTCGCAGGGCAGCCTCGCGCTCCTGGGCCAGGCGGATCTCCCGTTCGATGGGTGTCTCCTTGGTGTTCTCGGGAGAGGGCGCTCGGGGGAGGGGCCTGGGCTTGTCTGCGGGGTAGACTTGGGAGCCTGTCGGTGGGCCTTGGACCTTCTGGCCAGCACTCACCTTCTTCACGGGGGACCCAAGGGAGATGTCATACCCGTTGGCCAGGGGGGGTCCGTCCAGGGCCTTGGGGGCTTGGCTGACCACTGATAGAAGTCCCCCGGAGGCCCCCCGGGGTAAGGGCTTCGGAGGGGCCTCTGTGCTGGCCCGCTCTAGACTCAGGAACTGCTGTCGCGCTGTCAAGAAATCAATCTGCTCCCGATCCACCCCGCCGTCCTCGCCGGGCTGGGTCGGGGGGCACTCCGGGGCCCCATCACTCTGGCCGGGATCATCGTGAAGTGTGGCCACTGTGCGGCTCTTCTTGACCGCCTGGTCCTGGATGACCGCCCGGCGCTCCTGCTCCAGGGCCCACAGCTGCCTGGGGATGGCACCCTGGGCATCGTAGCCACCCTCCAGGTCCTCCTGGTACCCTGGGGACCACTGCCCGGAGAAGGCCAGCAGGGGCCGAGATGCTCTGGCCCTCCCCATGTCCTGCAGGGCCGTGTGGCCGGTGGCTCGGAGAGGCGGCTTGTCCTGGCTCCATTCTGTCTCCTCAGGCCCCACCCTCACCATCTGGAAGGAGTAGCTGGTGTCCCTGTCAAGCACCTGGCTGGGGAGGCGAGGGGAGTGGGGGATGCTGAAGCTGGGGTATCGGGTCACGTGGTCCATGTCTGCTGGGGGACTCCTGGGGTGTTAGAAGGAAATGACAGTGTTTTAGGGACTGGATGGGTCAGCCAAGAAATGGTGCCCCCAACCCGGTCCCTGTGAAGGTGATCTTGTTTGGGGGAACAGTGTAATCTGATACTGTCACACAGCATTAATCTAACTCCCTGCCTGTAGCTAATTCACTAACTCACTTCCTGTCTGACTTACTCCCTGCTGTAGGTACTCACTCACTCCCTACCTGTAGTGACTAAATTACTCCCTGTCTGTAGTAGTTACTAACTCAGTCCCTGTCTGTAGTTACTCCGCCCTGTCTGTGGTCAGGAACTCGATCTCTCTCTAGTCATCCACTCCCGCACTCTTGTGTGTAGTTGCTAACTCATGCTCCTTGGCCCTGGCCTTCAGCCCAGCTTGGTGGAATTTCTGCAACTCTGTGTTGCTCAGGGCCAGGCAGATTGTCTGCGCTGGTGGCTGGCTCTCAGGAGGGTCATTAGGACATAGGGGGAGGATGTGTGCATCATAAACCCCCCTCACGTTGTCTCCGGGGTGGACATGTGCACCCTGTGATTCTCCATTGACCTGAGACAGCCCCCCACTCCAGAGTGCCCCAAGTTCAGAGTGTAGTGCTGTCCGGAGGACACTGGGGTGCCACAGAGACAGCGTGCGCCGCTGACCGGCTCCCTGCCTCAGCAAGCTGAGACACTCCTCTTCCGCCCACGAACTGGACTTGGTGCTTTGACTCCCAGGACAAGGCATGTCCCCGCACGGGGAAGCTGGGGGCCACGGCAGGGCCAGCCCCTCTCCCGGGGGCTGGGAGGCTCCGAATTTTAGACTTCCGGCCAGAGGGACCTAAGAGATCATGCGCTAGATTGTGGAAGCCACCCACAAACCCCACTGCCATGGAGTAGATTCTGACCTTTAGTGACCCCTACTTATAAAGAGGCTATTAACCTTTATAAACAGTCTTAGTCATTACGACATCGGATGGATTTCAACCACTGGCTTGGTCGTTCAGCCCCCATCCCACCGGGCACCCTGAACCCTCCCCCCATCCGTAAAGCCAGGGAGAGTCTTTCCAGCCGTTCAAAGGCAAAAATCCCCATCCAGTCACCCCAGCGATTGTTTCAGGACAGAGACGGGGCCAATCAGCGCATTCCATCCTCTGAACAGTTCCTGCAATGATCGCTTCCGGGTTGGGTAAACCCTCCAACCTAGCCAAGTATTTCATTCCCCGGCGTCTGTGAGTGGTTCATGAATGGGCACATGGCCTCACCAGGCCAACATAAAACCCTGAGACTTGGATTCGAATTCATTCAGTCATCCCCCTTGCTGGTTTGGGGCAGAACTGGGCCCCCTGAGGGTTTCCGAGACGGTAACTCTTTAGAGGAGGAGGAAGCCTCATCTTTCTCTCGCGGATGGGCTGGTGGTTTCCAACTACGGACCTTGGGCTTAGCTGCCTAACACATAACCGCTCTACCAGCACAGAAAACGGAGACCCTCTGCCCAGAGCGGGGAGCCTTGGTGGTGGGGCAGGTCAAGCCGGGATCTTCTGATCCCGTGGTTGGTGGTTCAGACACGCCTGCTGAAAAGCTGTCTGCTCCTGCAAAGGTCAACAGCCTCCCGAATGCTCAGGAGCAGTTCTGCCCTGTCCTATAGGGACGCTGCTGTGAGTCAGAACTCCCATCGGCGTTTCTAGTGGGCCGACATAGTCTGCAGACTTCACCCCACCCAGTGCCCTGGACACATCCCTTAAGAGCAGACCGAACCCAAAATCCACTGCCCCCGCCTGACAGCGGCCCCCCAGGGCAGTGCAAAACTGCCGTCCAGGGTGTCCCAGGTGGTCAGCTGTTACCACAGCAACCTCTCTCAGAAGCCTCTCAGGCAGTGGCTGAGCGCTTAACCCATGGTGCCACCAACACCCTTCTCATGACAGTGGCCCCTACAAGCACCAGATGAGCTCCTGGATCCAGCTGTGTCTGCAGCCCGGGACACCCAGTCACCAGCCCAACATCTCTCCCTCGTGCCCACCCAACATTCAAAGCCCAGGAGACCCCAGGTCCTCTGTGCCCGCCCCTCCCAGCTCTCCCCACCTTGCCAGGCAAGCCCCCTGGCTCTTCCCTCCCAGGCACCTGCCCTCGCTGTTTGTGTCCAAGTCCAGGTCTAGGTTAGACAGCCCCCAAGCCTCACAGAGCCTGCTGACACCCTCTCCCATTCACCAACCTTCTCACCGATGGCCCCCACCCCCAGGCTCCACCCCAGCTCTGGAGTCTCCAAGGCAGAACAGAAGTTCCGTGGTTCCCACATCCTGGATCTCGTCCCTGCACCCTCCCTAGCCCAGACAACCCATAAAACCGGGAAGGACTGGCAATGGCCTTGGACCTTGTCCATCTGGGTCCAGGTGGGGCTGGCCTTGACCCAGTGCCCTTGGGGAGCCAGCCCTCCCCTCCGGGTCTCCAGGTTCCTCCAGGAACCCTCTGGAAGGTCACGTGCCTGCTCTCACTCCTTCACGTCTCCTGGGTAAAGTTTTCTGGCCCTACCTGGTGACTTGGGGTTTCCGCCCAGCCTCAGCCCAAACCTCTAACGAGGCTGGGGCCCCACCCGATCCTGATCATCCTCTGGAAGTTGTCTGTGCACAAGGGCCTCCTCTAGGCTCCTCTCCCACAAAGCACCCCCAGGCCGCCCCCCACCCCCTCCAGCTAGTGTCTGAGTCTCCCAGGGCTGCCCACCTGTAGCCCAACACCGTGAGAACTTCTCCTTTTCACCGCCAGCCGCCAGAAAGGAGGCCCTGGGGGCAACCAGGCTTTACCTCACCTGCATGCAGCCCCGCCCCTGCCCCTCAGCGGGGGGCCCCTGGCCCCCTCAGGGCCGCTACCCTCATCTCCGCCTCCCAGCAGGTCCCCGGCAGACACTCAATGGACCTGCCCCAAGAGGGAAATGTGCCAGGCAGTTCTCCTCGGTCCTGCGCCCGGGGCAAGGCTCCATCTTCCAAGGAGTGGACAGGCTCAGCTTGCTTTATCCCTGGTGGGTCGGAACCTCCGGCCTAGCAGTGAGCAGCATGGCGCCTGGCCACCAGGGCTCCTTGCTTTCGAAAAGGGTCAGGTTTTCATGTCAGGCTTGTCAACTTCACCTATGGCCTGAAGCCCCCCCCCCCCAAGCAGACACTTACCAAAGAGACTGAATGAGGCCTGGGTGCTCCAGCCGGGTCCGGCTCATTTCAGACCCGTGCCCTCTGCCGCCCTGGTCAGCCACCTGGCCGGTGCTAACCTCAGAGGCTAGTCTGCCTTGCTCAGTCCCCTCCCAGGGTCCCTTCAGGAAGGGCAGGAGGGCCACACTGTGTCCAGTGAGTAGACTCAGCCCTCCCAGTGGGGAGGGGCACTCTGCCCTGCCTTGGGGCACCCAGTCTCCTGCTGGGTGGGGCCGAGTGGCACTTCCTCCTGGTGACTCACAGAGGCCTGCTGGGGCTCAAGCCCTCTGTGCCTGTCACCTATGCTGGCCTCTGAGTCCCCAGGAGCTCAGGACAGCCACTCCTGGAGGGTGGGACTCACGGCACCCTGCAGGACAGGGTAGAACTGTCCCTCCAGGTGTCCCAGAGGGTAACTCTTTACTGGAGTTGAAAGCCTCATCTTCCTCCCTCCGAGCGGCTGGTGGTTTAGAACTGCTGACCTTGGGGATCACAACCCAGCACTCAACCACTATGCCACCAGGCAAGTGGGACTGCTCGGTCTTAGTCTTAGCCCAGGAGCCAGCTTCCCTCCGTGGGTGGTGAGTCAGGGGCCCAAGCCCTGGTGGCCCAGAGGCTAAGCACGGGGCTGGCACCTCAGTTTTCCTCATCTATGAAACTGGACGGTGCCCCCTCGCAGGGCTCCCAGGAGGACAGGGGAACCCCTGGGGGGAGAGAAAAAGCACCTCCCCCTGCCTTCCAGGCACCAGGGACTTGACGCAAATGAGCCACAGCAGCCACCAGAGACCCCCTCATGCCCATGTGCCCCCCACCCTGCACTACTCTCAGTCACTCAAGAAGGGCGACCAGCAAGGGAAAGGCCACACCCTCTCTGCACTCCCGCCCCCAGCTCCTCCCCACCCAACCGGCAGCCCTGTTAGTACCAGACCTAAGCGGGGATTATAGTCCAGTGTCCCCCACCTGCTTCACCCCCTGCCCCCACTTACCTCCCACCCGCAGCTAAGGGGGGGGCAGGGCACGCAGGGTCACCCCACTGCCGTTCCTGGAGTTGGCCTGCCATCACTCAGGGTGTAACCCGTCCCACCCCCCCGCCCTGACCAGGCAGTGACCCATCAGGAGACCTGCCCTGACCCTGCACCCCAGGAAATTACAGATGAGACTCCCACCTGGCCCAGCCCTCCTCTCCTCTGTGCCTGGGCAGACGTGGACCTAAACCTGAACCCAAACCCGAAGCCGGTGGGGCGCTGCGTGCTACCCGGGGGTAACTGGTGCTGCTAAGTACCCCAAAGCCTCAGGATCTGAGACAAGGGGGGGCCACAGGTAGAGGAAAGCCAGGCTTCAGGCCGGGAGGGGGTGGGTCAAGCGAGGACAGACCCACCGTCCCACGTCCAGACCCAGAGGGAGGCGCCTCCCCCAGCCAGAGACCCCAGCTGGGCACCCCGGGGAGAGGTACCTGTGCCTCAGGACCTGCAACCTGAACGTCCCACCGGAGTGGGGGTGTGGCCAGCTGACACGACCCCCATGCCGACAGGCCGCACCCCTCGGCACCCACCATCCCTGCACCCCACCTCTTACTGGACCCACCCCTTGTTACAGACCCTGCCCCGAGCCCCCAGCCTCACCTCCAGCCGGGCGCCGCTCCGCACTGCCCCAGCCCTCGGCCCGCCCTGCGCCCAGGTTGCCAGGGGACCCAGGCCC